GAGAGTTAATAAAACAATAAGAAGTTACAAAAAAACTAGCAAAACAAAAAAATGAAAACACAAGAAGAATATAACGTGAATCAAAACAGAAAAAAAGTTTCTGAACGTTGATAAATAGAAAAGGAAGAAAAAATATGAACAGAAACAGAAATGGGGGATCAATAGAAGAACATTTTGCAAGAAAGAAAGGGGAAGAGATGCCAAGAGAAGAGATTGAGTGTCAAAGAAGATGCTCAAGAGAGGGAAGCATAACGTAGAAAATTAGATTTGGATATACGCCACACATAGAACTAAAGAGAGGTAATAAAAGGAAAATGATGGAAAAGAAAAATAGACATAACACTAAAAAAACAGAATAAAAGCTAGGAGGGCAAGACTCAAAGGTTGTTTCCACAAATCAAGGACTTCCTTATGGGTATCCATCTCAGTCCAACACTATTTAACATAAAAATTAGGATATGGTCAAAGTGGAGCAATTGTAACGAGGAGTCCTGCACCTGGCATACGCGGACGATACAATAATAATAGTAATAGAGGAAGAACAGATAAGAATAAAGCGATACTACGAAATACGGAATCGCTAAAGCGAAGATTATGAGACTTTGGAAGAGGTTAGGAGAAATGGGGAGGGAGGAAGAAAAAACAGAAATTCACACATCTGGAATACCACAGGCCAATAATTAATGAAGCAAAGGATTAACCAAAAAGAAAAAAAAAAGTTAGATGTAATAGGCCCGCGTCAAAACCACCTAGCGTCGTTTTACACGATGAGTGTGTGTGGACAACTTGCTTTAGCTCAGTCATAACCAGAAACATACATTTCTAAGCAGGTAACGTGGCAAGCATTACGCTACTCTGTGTCAACCTAGAAGAAGAAATTGCCAAAGATCGTTTTGTTGGTGGGCCCGGGAATCGAACCTGGGAAGTGATAGAGAGAAAGAAGGAGAAATCATTGAGGAAGAACTAGCAAATCGAGCCATACAATTATTGCTTCAACATAATATGGATAACATCTTGACGAGAGAAGAAAAGGCATACGGAACTGATAACGAAGTATATGCCACGTACAATATCAAAGGAAATGAAATAGTATAAAAATAATAACGAGATTGAGATGTAGAAATAAGGAGAGAAGAAATGAAAGAAGAAGAGAAAAAACAAAGAAATATAGATATTTTGAATTTATTTCTAAGTGAAATAAATTGGTTTCAGCAAAGATTGATTTACTATCCCCACTGTGGCTACCCAAAAATTTCACGAATGAATCCATTGTACTTAAATGTGGGCACAGAGTGTAAATTGGTTTTAATTATTTTTTATTGATGTTACTACAACGTGGTCAATCTAAAACACAATCCCAATAAATGGCACACTACAAGTTATAGATTTATAAATTATTCAATGCGATTGGAATGCTTTTGTGCAGAATGAGTAATGTAAAAACTTCGGCAATTTCATAGATATTGCGTCTTAAAACATACAATGATTCAATCTACATGCCTTCTGTAACAATTCGGCGATAGTATTATAAACGTTTTGAGCTAACAAAGTTAAACATCATGCTTAATATAGAATCTATTTCGGCAAACAATGATTAATTACATTTTTTACTTGCAAATTAATATTCAAAAATAGCGCAGCTTGCATCGTATGTAAAATTTCCGGCTATTACAGTTTGAGGACCGCCGTTAAACAAACTTCCTTGAAGATATAAGCAATGTAGGTAAAAGGCAAATAATATTTTATCAAACTTGATACTTGATATGTACACAGATCGATAACCTAATCGCGTGTTTATTTCATACTTACAAATTTTGTGATTTGTACCCGTTTACAAATGTGCTACTTATAGACACAAGGTTTGCTTGGGATGATTACATAAAAAATACCCAAGTATATGATAACGTGACTTTTAAGTGTTTATTGTTTCGAATTTACCTAAGCCTACAACATAACACCTGAGGATGTTTCTTTGACCGTTCCACAATTTAGCTAAGTGAGGGAAAAGGCAGGGGTGCTACTTTCAAGTACCCATGCGACGTAGGATGTCTATTTCCTTAAATAATAAGTAAGGGGCGTTTTAATAATCAATTGGATCTTTCAGACTCCTGGACCTGGCTTGACCAAGTGTTTTCTAACAATAATATGCACACGTCAACCCATATTCCTATAAAATCCAGTCATACGATGGTTTGATATCCATCACACGTTTGGTATAATATGGCAAAAATGGCACAGAATTGAATTACGAACATCAAGTATTGGGGTGAAGTCCCATTCTGTAATCGAAACTCGAAAACCATGAGCACATAATTTTATGGCACAGAGTAGCATGCAACTACTGCAAAATCAAACTATACAGCAAAATAACGATGCATGTGTTCAGTAGTTTTTAGAAATGTGCCAAAAAGTTTAAGATATTTAACGGAAACCTTACCCATTTTAATTGTTTCTTCTATTTTGAATGCTACTCTAGCAACCCGACCCAGTGTCCACTTGGAAACTTCGCAGTCAGATCTCTTCGGCTAGCTCAACCAATGTACCTTCCAATCATTGTGTAAGCAATTATGTCGTTTGACATTGAAAAATCGGTAAATGTAAAGTTCATTTCGGTTTGCGTTCATGGGATGATAGAAGAATCTCTTTGACGACATGAACAGTAGAACTTCGGTTATTGTACTGCTGGTATGTAGTATTAAACCAGAAAATAGGTGAAGAGTAAGTTTATTGCAGAGTTTATTAAATTACAATAATTACAAGATATTGTTTCGCTTTCCTGTATTTGCTTTGTCGTCGATACCACTACCGAATCCGATTATTTACTGTTCCCGCTTAGGGAAATTGGTGTGCGCCGCTAATTTCGTCCGCTCACATCTTTTAGTGACTAATTTCTAACTTTATTTATTTTTCTTGTTAATTAAATTATAATCATGATTCCGCTACTGCTTATTTAATTTTTTTCGTGCCATTTGTGCGCGGATTTACCTACTACCGAAGTTCGTCGCTTTGCGACCTACTAATGACTGGTTTTCGTGGTGGAAGAAATGAGGAAAGAGGACTTTAAAGGATGAAGAACTTTGCGAGAAGTAGAAGAAAAGGATCTTTAAAAGGTAGCAAAAATTGTTACGGGCATATAAAAGTTCAATTGAAAGAAAGTGGCCAGAGGGTTGTTGCGGCATGCTAATTTTTGGTATTGATCACGTAAGAATTAGGAAAAAAGGAAAGGAAAGAGAGACACACATTTATGCGGGCACAGAAAGTTAAATTTCATAGAAAATGATTAAAGGGTTGTATGGCGGCATACTTATACTTTGTGTTAATAGCGGAAGAAGAAAAAGGAAGATGAGGAGAAAAGAAAATGGTAGACAAAACGAGGATAAAATTGGTGCCGGCGCAAAAAAGCTAAATTGATAAAAAAAGACCAGAAAGTTGTCGCGCGACCTGCTTATTTTTTGGTTTTCATAACGGAAAAAATTGGGAAAAGGGACTTTCATTGGTAAAAAAGTATTGCGGTCGCAGAAGAATTACAGAAGAAAATTATTAAGGGCTAGATTAAGGGGTTTTCGCAATATGCGTATTCTTAATAGTAGTGGCTGGAAAAGTAGAAGATGCAGATTCATTTTTATGATAGCAACGTAAATCAAATTTGCGAGGCCCAAAAAAGTTGAACATAGAAAATTTGGTATTGGTGGCGGAAGAAGTGGAGAACTATAAATGTGATAAAAAATTAGTCGCCGTTATTTCGGAGTAAGATAATACTATTTACCGCCCATTGAATAAGGTAGATTGTATCCAAATTTCCAAATTTTTATGTCAAGCGAACTTTCGCTTCTTTAATACGAGGTACTAGTGCAGTCGCTTTATTTATGCCATTAATTGTGTCCAAGCCTACGTGAAGGATGGACAAAAAGGTGTTCTGATGTTCTGTCAACATAACTCATTTGTCGCACCTTGCAGATTTGCTCAAAATCACCTTGAACTTACCTGTCGAGCCCTTGACCTGCTTTTGGATTTTGATACCTATATCATCCCTCTTCGTAACATTTCCGCATGCAACTCTTGCCTGCGTTAGAAAACGATCATCCTCGATCAGCCAGTTTCGGTACACAAAATTTCATAGCAATTAAGCGATTTTGTCAAGTCACGGGAATATAAAAAGTGAAAGCAAAACGTATGAAATGACATAACTGCAGTTTTCTCCATATCAGGCTATAAGAGATTCAAAAATTATGTAGCTGCCTACATTTTTTAGTTTCAAATGTAATTCTCCGTCTTTGTGCACTTGGAAAGTAATCTGCAATTAGCGGATCCTTTGAATTTCAATTTCTTTGAATTTTGGCTTATATTTCATAATTGCTCATCGGTGATTGTTAGTTTTTAAATGTTAATTGCGCATTATTGAGCATCCGAAACTAATGTGACAAGTTTCGACTGTTAACAACTTTTTAAATATTAAATTACCGCCATTAACATAAATGTGGGTTCTTATACCGAAACTCCCAAGGTGTTTCGTCAATGGTGTTTAAGTGGCTTTGATTTAAATGCCCTTCGTAATGATAAACAAAGTAATTATTAATCTCGATGATTATTATTTGCGTATTTATAAATTAATATGTCACATAGATAAATTTTACTAGCAACCTTTGTTCAATTAGCAGTACGTAAAGGAATTTTTTGAACAATTGTATAATTCCTCAGTTTTTTCTTGTTACTGAAGGTTATGAGAATCGTATTTTTCTACGTTTCCGACGTCCCTTTCAGCTCCGCTGATTGGAAAAAATGTTTTTAATTCCTTCATAGTGCGAATTAATCGAAAATTATTACAAAACAGTAAATTTATAAAAATCATTATATAAGCGGTTTCTGCACATTATTGAAATGTATCGCAAATCCTCATCTTCTATTTTTATCCGCATATTTTAGCATTTATTTTTAAAATTCAGGGGCGTCGAATTGAAAATTTTCTTATATAATTGAAAATCAAAATTCAAAATTATTACCTTTTGAACGACTAGAGGTGTTCCAAAATCTTTTCCACCTTGTAACCTAAATCCCCAGGATGGCGCGTCACCTTTATTTAAACGAACACAAATTAAATTTGCCATAATCGCACTATATTCTTCAATAAATTAAGTCACTAATAATTTCTCACTTTTTAATTTAACGGTAACAAACTTTAAATTAAAGTGAAGTCCAGTTTCACAAATCGCGCCCTGGAGTTTCGATGCCATTCGTTGGGATTCGATATAGGTGGGGGCATCTCGTATTTATAGAATCTGAATAATATTTGGTTGTTAGTTTATTTTTACAAATATCAACTTTATTTTGCGAAACTGTAGCCAAGTAATGTTGTAAATAGGCCACTGAATTGTCATGTTCGCTTGGTGCAGCTCTTAATTATCGTCCTGATAATGCGTTTGTTTTTAATTACCTATACTTATTCAGTAAACTAGGTACGTGTAAAACAAGTTTTGGTCTTTACCTTGCTGCGAATTGCTGCCATAATTATTACAATTATTTGTTCTTACTCTTGCTCATATATAAGTGTGACCATTTAAATACCACTTTTCCGCAATTAAAATGAGAGATATTATAAATTATTTATCATTTTTCTATTGGCCGTTGGGCGGAACTTTGCGGAAACATGATAAATAAAACCCCAGAACCAGAATTTAAGGCCTGTAGGAGGAGAAATAAGAACATTTATAACGGAAAAGCGTACAGGTGCACGTATGTTAGGGGTGCTCGAGCTTATTACAGAAGCATGACAGAATTGCATTTTGCTATTGTTGTGCTAGATTGTAAAACAGGTCAAGTGTGAATCTGAACATATTTCATAGTATACTAATAACACTGATAAGACTTTATTTGAGAATTATTATTCGCTGTGTTCAACATAAGGATGTCTATCAAGGTGATCTCGGAAACCATAGGGGATTCTAAGATTGTCAAATTGGAGAAAAGCTACGCAATTAAAGAGTAATTATCATGCTTTAAAGAAAACCAGAAAATTTCGATTACTTCCGAAGATATGTCAGAAATTTGCCGATTTTGTTTTTACTTTTTTTTTATGTTTTTGAACAAAGACCACAGTTTCCAAATATGGTTTTTTATTGTATGCCGTACATCGTTGTATTAATAAATTAATAAAAAAATGTACCAAATTCTTGACAGAACAGTTTCCTAGCTCAGACCAAAAATCGCACATTTAGAGGAGTGCTTTCAAAAAATGGTAAGTGTAGGGAAAAAAACGAAAGTTTATTATTTTTCGATTTAGAATAAGAATATTCAATAAAAGTATAGGTTTATATTGGAAAAAAAATAGTCGTCCTACACTTGACCCTTAGGGACAGTTATGTGAAAATATGCATAGCATCATTAAATGGGCCCCTCCATATGCAAAATATTTTATATAAATCATCCCCACTAGTTTCCGCAATAATCGACTGTTTTAAAATAAATGGGTCACCCAGTACCTATACAAATTAATTAAGTTAGTGATATTTAAATATAAGGTTACGGAACTGGTAGTCGCAACTCACAAAATGACCCTCGGCTATACCCCAATTGGTTTCGCTTATGCAGATGCTTTTAAACCCTAATAAATCATTCACAATGTTTATTACTAATAATTCATTTATTGTCTACAGTCGAGTAACGTTGCTCCAATAGTACTTGTATTTGACCACTTTGAAAACTTCGCTAGTTAATACAAAATGTGGGTTACAATTTGAAAAACCAGTTGTATGAAGCGATGGCGCTAAAAATTCGTATATTAAAAAAAAGTTTGTGACAGTTTCACATTCTTTATACCGTTTTGCCGAAGAAAATATTTCTGACATTTTTTCTCCAATTTTTTGTAATAAAACCTAGGATTTTTGTAGATTGTACACAAAAAAGGAAGTCTTTCGAAATGTTTAATAAAAAATTTGTATGACGTCCCGGCGCTAAAAATTCATAAAAAAACGTTTTTGACAATCTTACATCTTTTATAAAATGTACCTACATTCGCAAAAAGAATCATAGTAACCGTTTTGCCGGCAAAAGCATTTAACTTTTTTTTACTTTAACAGTTTTTTTTGTAAGCCTGGTACAATTTTTGCAAGTTATACACAGAAGCATGAGGTCTTCCAAATAACTTAATAAAAAACTTAGGTTGCAGACTGCGGTATTTCTGCAGTACTGAAAGGTGTATTAGCATAATTTTTTTTTTTTTCTTAGGAGGGGAAATGCATTTACGCACAAAGTGTGGGGCTCCCCCGAATATTGGGTATACACACTAAAACCCCTCCTTAGGCGTCAGCTGCTGAGGCTATTGGCCTTTATTACGAGGTAAGTTAAAAGTATTAGACTTTATTAAGGAGTCCTATTTCTTTAAAAAAGATTAGCGTCTTTCTACACTTTTCACTTGTTCAGTTTGCCTCTACTGTTGCACAAATGTCGAGTCGCCTTCTTTGTTGTTCGTAGCGTGGGCACTGACACATTATGTGTTCTAACGACAGATCAACTTCACAGTTTTCACACTGGGGTCGGTTAGAGTTAGAAAGTAAATATTCATGTGTGATAGCAGTGTGTCCCAGTCGCAATCTGATGTATATCCTCACCAGGTCAATTCTTGCCGCACTTATTAAAACATTGGTGCTAAATTCGGTTTAACCTTTCTCAGAGCAGTTTCTGAGTTTGCCCATTGTCTTTCCCAGTACTCCCACATTCTCCGTTTCACAAGGGTCTGGCGTGCTGTCTTTGACAGATGCAAGACCTCCCGATCTGACAAATCAAGTTCTGCTATCGCTTCCCTTGCCCTGATGCCCAAAGGTCTGCACCTATCAAGACGCCCCCTTCTTACATTTTCAACAAATTCCTGGTGGATCGGATGTTCCCTATTTATCAGAATTTTGTAGTAATAGTTAACCATCAGCTGCTTACGGCGAAAAGGAAGTGGTAGTATATTAGCCTCAACGTGTAGGGAATTAGTAGGGCTAGTTCGGAAAGCACCTAGGGCGTACCGTATGGCAAGATTTTGAATTCTATCTAGTTTGCCTAACGTTGTATCACAGCATGTAGAATACGCGTACGACCCGTAGTCATTTCGTGACAATATCAGGGCTTTATATACGTCAAGAAGAGTTTTGGGGTTTGCTCCCCATTTGTGGTGTGCAAGCACCCGTAGTGTATTTAGTGACTTTCTACATGTTGTGATCAATCGTTCCAAGTGACTTGACCATCTCAGTTCGCTATCGAAAGTCATTCCCAAAAACCTGACTTCCGATGTTACGTTGATAGGTCGACCGTTCAAGGACAGTACAGGCCCATAATGGAGTTTACGGAGCCTGCAGAAGTGCACGCAATTCGTTTTCTCGTCCGATAGGATAAAACCTACCGCATTTGCATTCTCAGACACAAGGTTAACAGATCTCTGTAGTTTTCGTACAATTTCACCAATTGTCTTTCCGCTGCAGCATACCATAAGGTCGTCGACATATAAACATCGGTTGACCTGTTCCATATGCCCTATGGCTATTTCATTAATTGCAATGGCGAACAGAGAACAACTCAATGTTGATCCTTGTGGGACACCATTTTCTAGCACATACTCGTCTGAACAAACATCACCAATCCTAACGATGAATTTTCGGTTATCCATAAAGGATTGCACAAATTTCGGTAGGTTCCCTTGTAGTCCATATTTGAACATTTTTTCCAGGATTCCGTGCCTCCAAGTCATGTCGTATGCACCCGATATATCGAAAAATACTGCCACCAGATGTTCCCTGGCATCGAAACCTTTAATATTTTATTACTCAACCAAACTAGATGGTCAGTAGTTGACCGGCCTTTTCGGAACCCCGCTTGGTACGATGCCAATATCCCGTTTCCTTCCAGAACCTCCTGGAGCCTCTCGTTAACCATACGTTCTAGCAGTTTTCCTACACAGGAGGTCAGACTTATTGGTCGATAGTGTTTTGCAAGCATCCGGTCTTTACCCGGTTTTAAGATAGGAACAATTATGGATTTTCTCCATTCTGTAGGGTAAGTACACTTTTGCCAGCAAGAGTTGTAATAATTTAAAATACTTTCTTTCGTTTCAGGATTCAGGTGTCGAAGCATTTCGTTATGTATATTATCATATCCAGGTGCACAAGATTTGGTCTTTCGGAGGGCAGCTTCCAGTTCTTCTAGTGAAAACGGTAAGTTATAATCAAACCTTTCGTCTGTGTCAAAGCTAGGCAACTCTCTCTCCTTTTCAGACTTTATTTGTCGGAAAGTGTCAGTGTAATTTGACGACTCTATAGAATTGCTCTGCTAGGATATTTGATATTTCTGGCAGGTTACTAGTTACCGAACCGTCTAGTCTTCTGATAAATGTTGGATAGCTTTGACAGGTTTTTCCAGATATTGCTCCTATTTTTTTCCAGACTTCACTAGATGCAGTGGATGGGTTAATAGTTGTTACATATTGTTGCCAGGATCTTCTCTGTGCCTCGAGAATTGCTCTACGGCATTCTGCTCTGCGCTTCTTAAATTCAATAAGATTATCGATCGTGGCATTACGCCGAAAGCTATTCAAGGCCCTCTTTTTAATAGATATATTTTCTTTTATTTCCGATGTCCACCATGGGACCATCTTGGTCACCACCCCTGGTTTCGATTTTGATGGTATACTACCGACTGTGGCATTTAATATTGCCGCAGTTAGAGTCTCAAGATTTAGTTCGTTCTCATTTGGAGGTATTAACTGCTCAGAAAAGCGTTTCCAATTGGCCTGACGGATTTTGAACTTTTCTGTGGATCTAACCACTGGATTTTCACCTCGAACTGTGATGATAATAGGGAAATGGTCACTGTTGAACAGATCACTTGCTACTTCCCATTTCAGGATCCTGTGAATGATCGGCGAGCATATTGATAAGTCAATCGTGTCAAACGTTCCCGACCTTACGTTAAAGAATGTTGCCGAGTCATCGTTTAATATGATGAGGTGTTTATCTTCAATCAAATTTAACAGCTCTTTACCGCGAGCATCACTCGAGTTTGAACCCCAGACGGTGTTATGGGAATTAAAATCACCAACAAGAACGAATGGGGTTTGTAGTTGATTAATTATTTTGTTTATTTCGCCAACATTGTAATTTGTGTTCGGAAGATAGATGTTAACCTCCACTAATTTCTAGTTTTATTGCCACGACTTGATAGTTTGTATCGATTCTGATTCTTTTATATGGTACCTATGTCTTGGCGGATCGCGAACGCTACACCTCCACACGCTCTTTCCGGTGAGTCAAAATCTTTTCTTACAAAGTTATAGCCTTTAATTGTATGTTTACTTCTAGGTTTTAAATGTGTTTCCTGAAGAGCGATGCACACCGGATTATGCTCTTGGATGAGTAACCTCAATTCATTTTGGTTATGTGCTAAACCCCGACAGTTCCACTGTATGATTTTGAGTTTGAATTTTGTTTTAGGTTTGTGCGATCAGCATAGGTGTATGCTCTTAAAGATAAGATTAAAAGAGACAACAGTGGAATAAATAACATTAATATGTAATAAATCACAGTGTATAAGGGACGACTACAAACAGAGTAATAATTAATTTTTGAACACAACAGACACAAATAGTTTACTTCGTAACAATTCCACCTTACAATACATTTGTACATTTCGGATTTATAGATGTTTAAAACTTTTAACAGATTAAAATGCTCTAAATATAAATAAATAAAACTTATATAAGTTAAAAGACACATACAAGAAATAGGGATATCACAGATTTGGTAACTCAATACAAATTGTAGGTAGATTATCACAGTAAATATATCACGCGTGGATGTCAACACTAGAGAGAGATTTTCCTAGGTTTCCCCTTTGGCCATCCTTTTTTCTTCTTTTGTTGAAGATATTGTTTTCTCTCTATATCTCTTTTCAGTAATGTTTATTGTTCAACAGACTTAGTAATCCATAAATGAACAGTTATAAAAGTAAATATAGAGGCGTATACATACATTATTATTAAATTATTATAAAAAAAAAAAAATTTTTAACGCAACTTTCCATAATTTGACTATTACATTATTAGGTACCTATTACTATTTTTCGGACATAGGTAAATGTTATAGAATATTAAAAAAATGTGAAAATTTAAAAACTAAATTTCCAAACAGATCTTAGTAAGCTTTCTTTCTAAAATTTGTTAAATGGCGCATATGCATTGCAAAAAAAATCGTTTAATATTTCTAGCCTATGCTTAGGCTTATAAATTAAAGTCTCCGTATTTCTAAATGTTATTTTGTGGTAAACATAATGGAAGTCTTGTAATTTTACAATAGCATCGCAGAGCTCAGTACCTTAGTTTTACATTATAATATAAAATAATTATAAACTAATAATTTAAGAAACTAAATTTCCAAACAGATCTTAGTAAGCTTTCTTTCTAAAATTTGTTAAATGGCGCATATGCATTGCAAAAAAAATCGTTTAATATTTCTAGCCTATGCTTAGGCTTATAAATTAAAGTCTCCGTATTTCTAAATGTTATTTTGTGGTAAACATAATGGAAGTCTTGTAATTTTACAATAGCATCGCAGAGCTCAGTACCTTAGTTTTACATTATAATCATATAATAATTATAAACTAATAAGAAGACCAAAGCTGTCAACTGTTGCCAACTTTTAATTTTTGTCGATGCTTAGATAATTTAGAATTTTAGAGAAAATGCATACTTGCCTCTTGGGCATCGCGCTTGCCTTCCCAAGTAAATTGACCCACATATCAGTTTCCATTTTATAATGAAAATTAGCTTGGGGGATAGGCGGTTGGTCCACAGAAGATACTTTTCTAACCCTTTGTGCGTATAGAATCAGAGGAACGTAAAGACGTATACATTTCTTTGTCAGACCCCATCGTACGTGTTATTCTCTTAGTAGAATGTGTAGAAACTATTACATAATGATTATAGAAACGCAAGTCAAATTTATTGAATGACTTTTTCTTATGAATTATGACCGCAATTCGTCAGTTTCGAAATAAAGTGTGTAGAAGAAGTTAAGCAATCTTAATAAAAGATTTGTTATCGTCAAGTGAAGTAGTAAAAGTTTGTGGAAAGTTTAAAAAACGGTTTATCCGTATTCAGAAAAAGTTAGTTCGAGTGTGAGTAAACAAATCAGTTGTCAGAGCTTAGTGAAAGTTGGTCTTTCAGTTCAAGTGCGCCCGAATGTCGCAAAAAAACCTGTAAGTAATTTATGATTTTTTAAATTTTTAATTATCGCCCGCTTGTTTGCGGAGTATTATATCCAAACAAGCGTTGAAAGCTTTTCTCTATTTCAGGGATGTGTACCAGGAGAGATTATAAAATTCTAGGTTTTAATTTTAATTTAATTTGAGCTAGCTGGACAGGTGTTTTGTGGATAATGTAATTTATTGTTTCATGTGTTTCGGAATAAATGTTTGCCATTGTGTGTTTATTCGAATCCTTTGTGTGAACCAGATAGAGTCTTCATGTCAGATTTTATTTTTCTTCTATTCGTGCCCAAGATTTATTTCAGGTGTTCATCGAAATTTGTGTAAAAAATTGAATGGAATTTTCGGAAGTTGATCGAGACCACCCAGTCTCTCAAATTGAGAAATCTTAAGTCAGTATTAGGATTTCTTTGTAACACATACCGGATGTGTACCAGATGAGATTATAAAAGGTTGAACTAAAAAAGCTTCAAAATAAACAAAAATAATTCGAAATTATACCAAGCTGGCATGTTGTCATGAGTTTCAACTCAAAAAATAAAAAAATTGTCTCGTGTAGGTGTAGCCCCGTTCTGAATTGAATGGTACAATACCGACCAGATCAAAAGTTATATGGGGGACGACGGACTTTATGTCCTCACTATTAAATGCGTGAATTTTTAATTTTTAAGTGATTTTTTTTAATATACCGCCTTCATTGGTACGTAGGTACATGTTCCCATTTTTATGGCACAAAGAGCGCCTCATCATCTCCGTAAGAGAAATGTACAGAAACGAAAAATTGAACCACCTAATTTTTTCTTATGGTGTCATTTGATGTTCCATAGCTTCATGCTTCTGGTTAAGGCATACTTTTGGATGCTTTATGGAACCATTTTCACTTTATATTTTGTTAAATAGCATTTGTCTCGCAAGTGTTCAGCTACTTCGGCGTGCCGTTGGACCCATCCTTCAACCTTACCTCACCTTCTTGTGTGCAAATTTGACACTTACCTATAAAATGATGACGTTAGCTACCCTTTACAAATCTTGTTTTTCTTAAAATGTTTGCAATGACTCATATTTCGAACTGATTTGGTATAATTTGCTAAAATACTGCGACTATTTACATACTTACATAAGGATCTGGAAACATGGCAAAATAATACTTAGGTCAAAGAGTAATTATTATTAAGTATTCTTTGCTTAGGTACTGGTAAGTGGTATCTAGTCGCGTGGAACATTACACAACTTTAGTGGTATACAACCTGCCAAAATGTCGTAAAGAACTTATGATATTTTTTCTGTATAGGTAACTGCTTGCTGTGTTGTAATTTAATCGTACAGTTGCATGAAAATAAATAATTCAACGTTAATTATTAGATTTACAACGTTAGACAAACCGTATAAACGAAGAACTGTTTCAGGTGTTCTAAATGATCAATTAGGAACTTTGGGAATCAATGGCAGTGGCACAGTATAAAAACTGACAGGGGTTTGAATAACAGTTGTCAAATATGCGTTACAAGTAACTGTATAAAGACAGTGTGGCCGTAATACTCCACGTCGGCTATGTTTTTCAAATTTATCGTTGAGCTTTTTAACCGAATTAGTAGGTTTTGCTATTGTTACAGTAATGATGTCACAATTGGTTAATTTCTACCAATCCGATGCATTTGGCCAAACATGGCCGATCTCCCAACTACCAATAGAAAATATCACCAACCTATGACCACACTGTCTCAATAGTCACCGAGCAGTATTCATTGAAGGAAGAAATTTTTTAAGGAACACAGTAAAAAAAATCAATTTAAAGCCACAACATATATTTTGTCAACAGGTTATTAGATACAATCACAATTTTTAATCGATTCAGTAGTTGTAAATGCAATTACAAAAATACAATGTGGCTCTTCTTTCCATTCCGGATAGAGAAATCTTCCAATTTGATATGAATTTTTGCACAGAATTATATGTGTCTAAATGAGATTACGTTTATGGTGAATTCTGTGGTGTATTAGCTGCTGTTGTTTCCTTACATACCTAATATTATTGACGTAGTGCCTGATGGTGTGAAATAAGTGAACACTCACAAACTTTTGCGTTCGGATCATAGAACTTTTGCAAAGTGTGGTAAACTCCTGGCACTATGAAAATAAAATCTAACTTTAAATGGAAGACTTACATCTATCAATTACCGAGCCAGACCTTTAGGAATGATATAAGAACTTGTGCAGATATTAACAAGTGATTAAAAAGGCTGTGTTTCATATTGGAAGACGATCGGTTGTTTTGCTACTTGTAGTTGACACGCCATATAAAAGTTGGTATATTGGTACGCACGCGGAAATCAAAACGTTTACATCATTATTACCGTTTTACAAACACTACAAAAGCCTAAGTGGCCTGCAAATTAGGCTACAGTTCTATTCAGTTTTGTAACATATACCAAGGATCGACATTGTATAGGAGGGAATCCAAAACTATGGTTTTCACGTTGTACTGGTAAATTTTCTGATTATTGTCTTGAAAATCTCTGCTCACAGCACTAATCTAATTAATCTAAAGATCTTACAGATAATTTATGTACTACACAGCCATTACAGTAAAAACACCTATTTTCTAAGCGCGTCCAAATTATATATAAACAGTCTAAACGTAGGAAAACCTCTTACTAACGGTAGGCTTCTTCATGAAATTTTCATCACACCCTCGACTTGGGGAAAAAGCTTGTTGCATAAATATAGATACGCCTTCAAAATAAATGGTTGAAGGCATTTCATCCTATTAAATCTGCATCTAGAGACTACTAATACTGTAAGTGTATCTACAAAAAATTATTTGTCGTTTAACAGCCAATACTTTTGTCATATACATTTGAATGATGGAATTAAGAAACACCTTCCTTTGGGTACGTGTAGTAAATTTTACACGCAAGGTATTGATAAGTTACACTACACTTAATAATGACATAAGCCAATTCGTGACTAGATGAGTTTAGTTATCTTTGAAATTTTGCTAGAGGTGTACTACTTATTTAAGAAACTAAATTACAACAATAAATTATTTGTCTTGAGCTGCTTGGCGTCTTAGATCTGATTGTATAAATGCAGTAAATATCGTACCCAAAAATAACATGGCGCACATTATTACATTAGCCCAAATATCACCCAGTTGCCTTAACAATAAGGAATATAATGATGTAAATGCGATTCCGAAAACTTGACATGCGGCATTGAGGAGGCCCGCGGACGTTCCCTCTGGTTCGGGGTAGGTCAGTTCGGCGGCCAATTCAAAACCGACGGGCAGCAAACCGGTCATAAAGAATCTGTAATGAGATAATTTTCATTATGTATCTTATAACAGTGCAATTTTGTCTGGAAAGTACAAATATCAATAACAATATCCCCTTTACATTCGTGTTCCGGATTGTTGCAAAGAAAAGAAATACCTAATTCATTCTACTTAGGTACATGTAACTTAAAACGCTACATACAATCATATGAAAACAAACGATGCGACGGTGATAGTACAGTAATTGAATGTAGTGATAGTAATTTTTCCAGTGGAAAATCGAATGAAGAAATAAAAAAAAAGTGTCGATTTGGCACGAAGGATCAATTTGTGGAAATAAGATGAAGAGATTGGATTGTGTCATGGGTAGGTCGCATGCTATGCTGCCTTTTGCACTCAATTAAAAAGCTTCAGATATAGAAGGTCTCATCTCGCTCATTTTTAAATACGCACTTCATTACAACAAAAATTCCAAAAAGGGACAAGCGTAGCAAATTTAATTTCCGCGAAAGTCACTGGAGAAAAACTGAATACTATTTTAAAGCAAAACACTAGCTACTTCACTACTATAATAATGAATACAGTTTAGAATTAAACACGAGCCGCACCATTGTTTATACAAGTGTGTATAATCAATACTGAAGACCGACAAGAATATAAATAATAAAAAAACGAGGCACCCTTGGTGATGCCGGAAACTGACGAACCTGAACCTCTACTAGTAAAGGATGCACATTTGAGATAGGTTCAGGTACCTACTTGAGGACGTTCTCGTTCTGTACGTGCCGCACTTTGACTAGCACGTCGAATACTAATAAAGACCTTCATAAGAATTTTCAATCCAGCTTTTTTCTGAATTATGGTCCGAACGAAGTTTCTTGAGCACTCTAGAACTTCTGAACAGTTTCCAAGCGAAGGTTTATATTGTATTGTAGTCAAACCCCTTGTAACCTTTTGGCCATGTAGTTTAACAAGGTGTCATTGGTCGTGTTACTGCACTAGTTACGAGATTGACGTATCATATAGTTATTTGTGTACCAAGGCCGTAAAAGTGATCTTTTTGGCCGAAGCTGCTGTTTGTGGCCGAGGCGGTAGCCGAGGCCGCAATTCAGATGAGGCCTAACAAATCACTTTTGGCCAAGGTGCACACAACATTTTTTAGGCGATCAAAAAAGAATTCAAAAATTTGCTCATAAACATATTTTTTCTGAAAATCATAGTTATCTTAGACAATTAAAAACAAAGCATTTCCTGTCATATGTAATAAATTATAATTAGCATGTTTGCGTGTGTTTTGTGCGTATCAAAATGGGTGATAGCGACAGTTCAGATAACTACCCAAAATGAAATTTTGGAAGCTGCAAGCGTTGCGACCCTAAGTCATATATGATATAAGAGCAGGCGTTTGAGAGTAAAAGTACAATCGCAACTTCCTCCGCTGCACAAGATTTTAATAATGTCAAATGCAATACGTTCTTCGTAACTGTGGCTTCCAAGACCTTATAGTTAACATGCTGTACAATTATTAGAAACCTGATTACCTACTTTTGATGGTAGGTATAGGTAGCTACTTGTGTTTTCGGTTAATTGCTGGTGATTCTTCGTATAATAATATAAGCAACAACATCTTCCTCATGTTTTGGTTCTACACTTCAAAAAGGTCTGCAAGCAGCAAAGATTGAAACGTCAAACTATAATTTTAAATGTGAACATTCTGATTATGCAAAATGGTGTGAAACATTCCTACAAGTCCGAAAATGAAAAAAACGCACGTGGATGGCCCAATCCTTGATGGGGCGAGACCAGATAGACGCTTTGTATCAAACAGATTACTGTTTCTCAAACATCAGTTTCAAATAAGTACAGTTTGACAGATGTGTACAATAAAGTAAAGTTTGACAGAAGCGTAAAATAAAGTGAAACTTTATGGCCGCAAAAGCGACCATAAAATCAACGTTTTTGTGATGATAGCCTAAAAAATTCTTTTTTTCACTACTAGCGTCTGATGACATGATTGTTAACCTTTTTTCCACTTGTAAAGTAGGCTTTCTCGGCATTTGTTCAAAGTGGTTAATAATGTGGACATTATTAACTAGTAGTCAATAATGAGAACTGTCACGCTGTCACTTTTAGAAAACACAACCCGAAATTTCGCTCAATGAACGTTTAGACAAGTTCTCTAAAACGAATTTTTGCCACCATTCGCAATTTCCAGAGAAATTACATACCTAAAATTATCACATTTTGAAAAAATTCGAACGAAATTACTCTTTGAAAAATCTCAATGACAGAACAAAATACGGCCTGTTTGACTTGTACTCCCACGTACTTGATTGACATGTTAAATTAAGAAACAAACAATTCTGTCCAACCGTTAACTCTCTTATCAATATAATATGTTAATTTAGAGGATTTCAAGTGCTAGTAGTGAAAAAAAATAGTATATATACCACGGTAGAGAAGTCTATTATTGCCTTCGCACCTTACACCCCTCGGCGCAAGCGCCTCGAGATGTAACCTTGGTGCTCAGGCAATAATACTGGACTTCTCTACCTTGATATATAATGTACTATTACCTAACATCATTCATTATTCAATAGTGACGATAGTCTGTGTCAATTGTGTTGCCTATACACAGTAAAAAAAATTATATAACTAAATGATTACTCCCTGCCACAGAGTAAAGTGACTCTATGTCCCTGCTATGGTTCATGTAAAAATAAATAAAATAAATATAAAATAAGAATGCTCTCCTTTCTTTTACTCCACTCCCTTCGCTTCATCTTTTCCTCTGTAGGCTCACGTTGTAACAGGTGCTCGCTTTAGGCTTAGAAAAATTTGTTTTAGAATTTACAAATTTTCTAGTATAGGAAATTTGATACGTGTACCGCTTCATAGTGAAAGAGGTCGAAATTAAAATGCAATAGAATGAAGCGCTTTCAGATAAGAAGCGAGTATGCAAGCAGATGCGGCACAAAACGCTACAGTGTTTCCGGGTCCGTTTCGATTTTCTATGTAAATTTTCTCTCGATCGTTCAGATTTCCGGGTCGTCTCCGAAAACCCCGCGAAACACCGGTCCCCATTTGTCAGGATCGCGGCCCTCCATGTCGGTGGTGATTTAACTTAACCAACCCTCTGTGGAGGGAGTGCAGGGCGCGTTCGAAGAGTCTCATTACTTCCTGTTGGATCTTGTACCTCCGCCTTCACCTCAAAGTCTTTACCCATTTTTCTTAAGCGAAAAACGCTTTGTTTCTACTCCAAAAATGACCACAGTTATTTAAAAGATACCTCCCCCTCTCGGTCCGATTTTCGAATTCAGTAAATCCCGATTCGTACGCGTCATGAACTGTTTAATTCCCTGATGTAGTTCTCGTTGTTATCCTATTGCAAGTTTTTCAAGACGAAAAAATGATGGCCCAGGCGCGCACATCCTCTCTTCTCTTGACCTTGTGTTGCACCAAAAAAATTCAAGAGCTGCTATCATCCCAACCCGAGGCCTACGATACTTACAGGCCGGAGCGCTCGAAAAAGTCACGTGACGTTAGGAGTCATATGAAATACATTACGACTTATGGAAAATCCGTGCGCGGCTCCACTATTTATTTTTTTACTCCGGATCCGTTCAACATAGAGCCACGAAATTTCAATGAGAGCTTCTCAATAGTACACGCAATCAAATTATGGTGTTCGTTAATTTTTAATAACACTAAAAATAATTAATTTTTAGGTTTAAAGTATTGAAGATAAAACGATGTTAGTAAATCCGTGTGTTTCTATCTTTACATCATCATATTTCTTTTTCTAGGAACTATATCATTATAATCCTTTCGGTGTCTTAAACTAGAATAATATGCGCCTCCAATTATGCGTATATAATGTCTTATCTGGTATTAGTATAGTTTTAACAGGCCCTACTAAATCGCGCATTTATTATCCGCGCAGAGAAAAATTCACCATGCGAGAAACTTTTTTGTTATTGCTATAATTGTAACACATATATCGAATGAATTGTGGCCAAAGGACACAAAAATGTTCTTCAGAAGGAATTTTTAAGAAATGGTCTCTTGTTTCCTTTTTTTCAGCAGCTGAAGTAAATAGCGCAGCGCGATTTTAAGAATAAGTGAACGCGCAAAGGAATTATGTTTCAAATAATTGTTAGTCATCGATTTTCAAATTGTGTTTGTGAGATTCAAATTTACATTAAACTTATAAAATTAAAGATATTATCAGTCAAAAGTATGGAGTATATCTTATATCTTCGTTAATATGAATTTTGCAGTACATAAAGTATTTTAGTTATAGGTACCTACTATTGTGAAAGTGAAATGGGAAATTTGTCTTGTCCGCCTATGAGGCCTGGTAAGTATCGTAGGCTTTCATCTTCATTCTATGAATAAATAAAAATAACCTTTTGGAATAAGGAAGTTTTAAAAAATAACTTTTTCTATCCAACAATTACAGCAGTTTTAGTAAAAAGTACAGCTTGTAAGGAATATGCAGTGCCGGACTGGCCCAGGCCGCTAGATTAGATTTCAATAAACACTACAAATATAAAATTAATAATATATTTTAAGAATATAGACAGTCATATTTTAAAATCCAACAATCAACCCTTAATTTAATATAAAACTGCCTATTTGACTGACATCAGTTTTTCAATTTTTTGTTGTCCTAGTCTTGTCCCTTAAATTGTTATTCTTACATTTTGAATAATTATTTAGTAGGATGTTGGCGAATGTTTGCAAACTTTTTGAAATGTAGTATTTAAAACTATTCTGACATTGGTCTCAAATTTCATCATCCACTTCTAAATGGGCAATAAGCTTAATATTTTTAATTTTATAAGTTTAATGTAAAATTAAATCTCACACACACAATTTGAAAATCGATTACTAACAATTATTTGAAACATAATTCCTTTGCGCGTTCACTTATTCTTAAAATCGCGCTGCGCTATTTACTTCAGCTGCTGAAAAAAAGGAAACAAGAGACCATTTATTAAAATTTCCTTCTGAAGAACATTTTTGTGTCCTTTGGCCACAATTCATTCGATATATGTGTTACAATTATAGCAATAACAAAAAAGTTTCTCGCCTGGTGAATTTTTCTCTGCGCGGATAATAAATGCGCGATTTTGTAGGGCCTGTTAAAACTATACTAATACCAGATAAGACATTATATACGCATAATTGGAGGCGCTGATTATTCTAGTTTAAGACACCGAAAGGATTATAATGATATAGTTCCTAGAAAAAGAAATATGATGATGTAAAGATAGAAAAACGCGGATTTACTAACATCGTTTTATCTTCAATACTTTAAACCTAAAAATTAATTATTTTTAGTGTTATTAGAAATTAACGAACACCATAATTTGATTGTGTGTACTATTGAGAAGCTCTCATTGAAATTTCGTGGCTCTATGTTGAACGGATCCGGAGTAAAAAAATAAATAGTGGAGCCGCGCACGGATTTTCCATAAGTCGTAATGTATTTCATATGACTCCTAACGTCACGTGACTTTTTCGAGCGCTCCGGCCTGTAAGTATCGTAGGCCTCGCCCAACCGGATCCCTAAAGTAACGATCTCTTAACACTCTCCAGTTTCGAGATGTTCTTGTGCGATTTCCGCTTAATATGCAAAAAAAGGGAGGTAGGCGGTTCGAAGGATTTTCCATAGGCCAAGGTAGGGTTCCGAATTTTGGAATTTCGCTTATTTTATTTTAGAAATAGTCTATTTAAGTTTGTTGTAGAGAAAAAATCCATGCATACTACAGCTGTTAGTTTTTTGAACTTTGAAACCAAGAAATTGGATAACTAAAAACTGGTGCTTTTCAAAAATTCAGTGGTGCCATGATAGTTTGAGATCAAACAACACCTAATTAATGGCAAATGCAGGCGCTTTTGTTTGATTTCATAATTCCATGGCATTACCGACTTTCTATACGGGACAGTTTTTAATTTTTAAATGTTTTCTGTTTCTGAATTTATAAAATAGGAAGCAATAGTATGTACGGATTCGTAATTTTTTTCTCTACAAAAAACTTAAATAGACTTCGGAATCGGAATTTAAAAAATTGTTATTGAAATTCCCATGTTGTGTTCGTCAAGTCACCACCCCGTATATTCGCTAGGTTCGGAGGATTTCTGTGGCTAGCACACATACCACCCCCACAAGAAGAAACATTTTTTCTTCTCTTTTTTTGCCGTTAGCGGGATTAAACACATTTGGTTGATCGTGTGAAGGTGATTCGTAGTGTGTGGAGTCTGTCGTACTTTGTTTGATCTACCATCCGATTTACACGTCGGCGTCGTACGAATCGGTCGAAAATGTCGAAAAAGTCTGTGGTGCCCATTAGCATAATAAAATTATATAGATGGTCAATCTATTGCACAGTTCTGTCTGCATCTAATGGGTAATAATTCTGTCCTATGCCGGAAAGAAAGAGCGAGCGTTTCATTTCAAAAGTGGCTATGATACCCAATTGTTAATACGACCCACTGAACTTTCAAGTATTCAAAACTTTTAAATATCAACTACTTTTTGTAGGGACAATGGTGTTTTCTTTAGCTCAATAGGTAAATGAAAGATCTAAAAGGCGTTTTTCTTGCCACCACAATGATAACAAGTTTACAAAAAGCGCATTTCCACTTGAATTCATTTTCCATTTGTAAGATACAACTTCTGTTAAAATTTCGTAAAAATCCGACCACAAATAAGAAAGTTAGCGTTGCATGTGTGTAATTCATTTTTGACCTGCTACTTCACAATTTCAGTTTCTAAGAAGAATCCTACCCTAAAATTTTAGAAGAATTGGTTTACAAATAACGAATGTAGGTCTGGGCATGCGCAATAATAAATTGTTATGCGTGTTGTTTATTTAATTCAGCATTAGTTTAACCTTTATTCGAGGTGTCAATATACAAAATTTCATTTAAATGTCTTAACAAAAAAGAAAAGTAGATTGCGCAAATACAAAAGTTATCGTGCACAACTGCACACGGACAGACAGCTGGATGAACGGACGGACAGACAGACGGGCGGACAGGCAGCAATACAACATTATAAACGATCTCGAGGTTTTTTACCATAACTTTTTTCTTAAGCGGCACAGAAAAAATTCCTTCCTTGGTGCAAGCCTCGACATCATCACGAACCAAATAGGGAAAAAAGTAGAACAATAAGCTATTAAGATAAAGAACTAGTAGCGACTGGACGGACGGACAAAGTGGCCCCAATACCGTATTTATTTAAAAAATTTTATCCAGTAAAAAAGGTTGAACTAAAATGATAACCAGCGTGCGTAACCGTCCGTTTTGAATTTTTTTCTTTCAAGACCATCCTGTTTCCAACAGGTTTTGGCTCGGGTTTTGAGCACCATTGTCACAGACTATTTTTTTTCCAACGGAACCTACTGTCCGTAGACGATGAGCAACGTATGTAGCGAAGAATCAGTGTGAAACAACATCGTGGAACACATAACTATCACTTTCTTCGGTGATCGATACAGACAATGATATAGTGAATGATTACTTGGAAGGAGGCATCACCACCGTGGAATCCAGTAGAAGAATAATCCTATCCAGAAATTCTTAACTCTCCGCACAGAATTAAGGAAAAAATCATAACACTAGGATAAATGGAAAATATACACAAAAATAAAGGCATTCATGGAAATGTGTGAAGTCACCATTTTTTATTCTACTTCACTGATTAATGACAAAAAACACACAAAGTATAAGAACTGACACTTAAGATAACCCTATGCAAAAAGAATAAGTTCGTTGACAACCTTGAGCTTATCAATGCAATGGACGCATGTAATAAGTAACAAACAACCTACCGTATGTGAATCATTTCCATATTGATATTTTGACCTTTGGCATCTTTCCACTGCCACAGCCACTGCTAAATAGTGCCTAAATTTGCAATACTTGTGCGATTTTTAAATATGGTATAAAAGCAGAATGTCGATAGGTTTATGGGCCTGTACGAGTAGATTATGTAGATCTTATTTGTACTCTTTTCAAAACATAATATTATGAGAAAAGAGGTGAAGTGTAAAGTATACCTGATAAGTAAGTATTTTTGTTTAGATATAATAACATTGTAGTCAAGTGTTTAAATGCTTACAACATCGTACTCGAGACAAACCCAAATAATTCAAGGAAATTCAGAATTACGACAAAAATTCCCCGAAAAATTTTCTGAATTCTCAAGATTATGGTCAAAACTTACCCTAAAAGTGCAGATGTCACGTATACCACTTCAATGCCTTTATCAAGAGTGAACGTAAACGCAATCATACCAATCAAAGAGAATGCGTACACAGCTATTGTCGTTTCCCTACAAATTGTAAATTAATGACACAGTATAAAAAGGGCAGTCTTTGAACATACTTAAACCTATGGAACTTATCGAGAATAACGCCGCATATCACAGATCCTACCATTCCAGCTATAACAATAAAAAGTCCAATGCGTCCAGCGTCTGCTGAAGCATTCTAAAAAGATCGATCATTATCGTCTATATATGGTACAGGTGCAAAATACTCTACCGGATAGTACTTCAATATGATTTGGTTCAGCAAAGTCGATAAAGCGTAAAATATGCCGACGTTAATTCCATATGCCACAAGCAGTAGCATATAAGATCGGTTAATCAGCAGTCGCTTGATGGATTGTATAAATTTCGCTGTATCTTCGTTGGATGTCTGAGTTTGTAACTGGGCGTGTGACGGAGGGCTGGGAGGTTGCTTTTTGAAAACTAGAAGAAAACCGGTTGTCGCATGGTACAGAGGAAACATTAGGCACACTTACAGAGTACCACTAGTATCAGAACAACGGTTGTGATTATTCCGGTTCCAATAAATAAAATGTAGAGATCATGCTCGATGTCGGTTACGAGTCCGTTTCCATTAACAATCATCGGTGGTAATAGGAATCCTATAGCAATTCCCATCTAAAAAGTTTCTATTTAGCAATTATGGAAGCTGTAGATTAAAAAGTCACCCAGTGGGCTTTAATTTAGCGTTAAAGAAGTATAGCAAAGGTAATATTTCATTGTCCTTGGCAAATTATCTTTAAATTAGCGTTGTGTTAGGACCTAGATGAATTAAATCAATTCTTTCGTAGAGTAGGGTTCTAATGAGACAATTGGATGTACAAGTGTCATCATTGCCGGACGTAACAATTTATTAATAGACAGGCTCGTAGCCACATTAAATAACTATTTTATGTTAGGTAACTACGTGGAACGCAAAATTATCTTATCGCATTTTCTTACCTGGTTCCCAAAAACTCCAATACTGCACGCCGAAGAAACTTGACTTGGACCGAACCATACTGCTGCCAACCTAGCCGGCACTGACAAAATAAACACTTGCGAAAACGCCACGATGGTCTGCCCAAGGAATCCGACCCAAAATCGGTCTGGAGCAACCGAAGCTACCTTAATCCATGTGCCCAAACACGTTCCCGTAACGCCAATCAGAACGGCGACCCTTAAACCCTACACAGTTAACGTAGCAACGAATAAGTTATTACAAACTGTACCACTTACTAATTTATCCAGCATGTAGCTGCCAGGAAATATGAATGGAATGTAAAGAACCATGTAGATCATCGACGTCCAGTCTACAAACGTATAGGAGACCCCGTAATATTTTACAATAACGTCGGCGATAATGGAATATTGAACCCATTGCATCGCATTTGATGCGGAATACAGGACAAATATGGCTAAGATCAGCCATCGTATTTTGTATACCTTGCACACTTCCACTTGGGGTAGTTTTCCAATTGTTATCGTCGCCTCCCCCGACATCTTTGTTGGAGTTTCTGAAACGAAAGTGTACAATTGAAACTTTCTACTGAAGATAACTAAAGCATTAAAGAATAATAGTGACTACCTTTTTAGATGTTTGGAATGGCATACAAAATTACCTTGTGTATAGTCGAGTAAAGCACTGGATGGAGAACGGAAATTCCTATTTTTTTGTGTGAATTCCCATTTGTTTGAAGGTTTAAAAGCAATGCATCAGTAACGATATTATAATAAGAAGATTGGCATGATGTTTAAGAATGAAGAATGCTATGCAAGTGTATAGGGTTTTCCTACATCGTGCAGTTTTATTTCGATTAATTATTGGAAAAAACCTCAATAGTCTTTTCAAGTTCAGCTCAACTTGTTAGTGATATGGGTAGATATGGAATTACAATTCTATTATATATTCCACTGTAGATGTGACCTTGTAAATAATTAATTGACACACGGCGATTTCATGTAGGTAAGGACTTGAAGGCACATATATATCTATATTCAGGTCGTGCATACACGAGGACACTTAATTCGTAGCATAAGTTAATAGGTATCTGTCAATTAATTACTAGAAATTTATATTAATACTCATATAGGTCCAAGCATGTACCTCAAAGAGGTGTCAGATTTTCTAGCCAGTTTTTACCTACTAATAATACTACAGAAGATTATATCATACCAAGAGCTGTAGTAATCTAACCACTAAGATAGTTATGTCATACAGAGTGACAATTTAAAAACTTATCTCACAATCAACAGATGAGATCAACAAATACTCAAAAGCATTTTTAGGGAAGGGAGGAGGAATTAAAAATAATAAGAACTCACCACCATCAAATGCCTACTCTTACTCACTTACTCCAACTAAAAAAATGAACAATTCGCCTTAAGGCGAGAAACTTTAGCGCATTTTCCAAGAATTGATCAGTACTTCCCGAGAAGTCATGTAGGTAACGGAACTATTTATGTATTCTTATAAATATTTAGAAACTCGGAATTTGCATACTTGATGTTTAAAATTTACTGGAAAAATTCTTGGTTAAAATTTAAAAAAATCATAAAGTTTAAAGTCGTCTTCTTTTTCAGCTTTTCCCTGTTTTATCTTGGGTCGCTGTTCCCGACTCTCCTCCTTCACTCACTGCTGTCCCACAAATCCTGTTCATCCATTTATATCTCAAGTCCTCCAAGACTATCTTTTCACCTTCTTCCTTGGCGTTCCTCGCTGCTTTCTCCCCTCCCCTCCACATGCATTCTGCTCACCTTTAGTAATTACATGAGAACCACTAAAGTCATTATTACTTTTTCTATTTCCGTGTCGTTAGAAGTGCGCGCATGCGCTTTGGATCGAAGCGCTTGGTTGCTGCTTTTCAGTTCTCACAAAGCGACGCGTCGTGACGGGGAGCTGTAAATACGCTTCCGGAACCGTTTGGTTTATGACGCGTCGTCGCGTCATGAGAACTACTGCAGTTGAAAACATAAAAACTTTTAGAAGTAACATTTTGCCGCTGCGCGTCGTATCGCGATGAGTCGCCAAGTGAGAATCAGCCTTAAAATCTCTACTGTCCCACAATATACCTGCATCATTTTTTTACAATTCATTCACCCTGTGAGTCCTGTGGTTAATTTCTCTGTCCAGTAATCCTTTGTCAATAACGTAGAAGCCGAGTTATTAGAACTCTCCAATTCTAACCAATCTCTGTTCGAGTACGTTTATGCTAGCAAGATTTCCAAAACACATGTACTCCGGTTCTGTTCTATTAATCATGAGTCCTACATCCTCGACTGCCGTCTCCACCTTTCCAGTTTTTGCTCTCATCTACAAGCACTGCATCATCTGCAAAAAGCAAGGTCTAAGGGGTCTGTTCTCACACTTCCTTCGTTAGCACGTTATTACATTAATTAAACATGGGCTGAGCGCAGATCCCTGATGGACTCCAACTCTCACAGGAAGTCTATCCGTCATTCCAACATTTGATTTTACCCTGTGCTTCATCATATATGCCCCGACCAGTCGCACATAATTTTCTGGTACCTCCACATTTCATCCCTAGGCACCGTGTCGTAGGCTTTCTCCAGATCTATAAAGACTAGCTGTAGTTCTTATGGCTTTGCACCATACTTCTCAAGTAGGACTTTATCTTAAGGCAAATAGAGCGCTCTTAGTTTTATTAATCCTGAATGTCGATTTTTTTTTGTACAGTGTCACCAACACACTCTCCCTCCAAGCATGGTGCATTTTCTCTTCATTGTATATTTTACTAAATAAATCCAATAGAAGATTAACACTTTCCCCAGAGCCGCATCTAACATTCTCGATTGCATTTCCTTCCTCTCTATCAATTATTTGACGATTTTCATTCAATAATGTACCGAACCACCTGTTCCTAACGTTTTCCTCAATTCTGAGCACTGCTCTCTGTATCTTTCACTTCCCTCACGTGAGTAGTACTTTGAGGTTCTATCCTTGGACCTAGCTATACTATACAATCTTTTATCTCCCCATGGTGTATTCCGTTTCTAGTACATCTTATCCGATGCCCTTGCTTTTGGTATTGCTACAGCCAGTTTCACCTCTTCCTTTTTTATCTTTTCGATTCACTTCTTAGCCTTCCTAATTTCCTGGACCTCATTACTCCGCCACGACTCTTTGTTCTCTTGGGGTTCCTTTCCTGGTGGTTTTCCTAAAATCTCTTCCCATACTCGCATTATCACCCTGCTGCTGACCTCCCACCAGTCGTTTGCCTTTTTTTAACTGTAATACTTCCCAGAATCTCAATTTTAACAATTTCTAGCTATCTACCTCCTTTAATCTCTGTTCTCCCCTTTGTTTCACTTTCTTTTTGATTTCTTAATCAGAGTCAAATATCACAGGTCGGCTCTTTAACTCTGCCAGATGGTTCCTTTTACAAAATAGATAAAATCTAGTCAGGCTACCTGCCTCTTTCCTTCATGGCCATCTGACGGGGTAGTACTCGCCGTGTCGCAAGGACAAGAAAAGGCTGCTGGACGTCGCTTATGGGATATGTCGTAGCCGGTACACCATTTCTTTCACCTTCCATCTTTGGTTTTGGCGAAATTTTACACCCGGATGCACTTCCTGCCGCCAACCCGCACCAATTTATCTCGGATTGAGTTGAGGTGGTGACAGAGTGACCTTGTACAATAGTATATTTATACCATATATAGACTTTTGAATGATGTATCTCAACTAAGGGTTAAGTATTTAATTTTTTTTGGGATAGAACAGTTCTCTCTTATGCCATTTTAGCCTCCTTTTTTACCCAAAATCGCCATGAAACCTTCATTTTCATGCGCACTTTATGTCAGGAAATTTTAAATTCCATGAGGGGGTAAAACTTTACCAGACTACTTTTTCTGTCGCCTGTCACTTTACAGCCCGACCTGTCACTTTTTCGGACGCACCTATCACATTGGTTGATAATGTCTATAATGACATTAAGCAAAAGTTCTATACGAAAATTGAAATTTTCGGTTTCAGGTAAAATATAATACAAAACGCACTACTTGACTTGGAAATTAAATATTTCCTATGTTTCCTCGCCACTAATTAATACAATGTTCTATGTAATATATTATGCCCCCAAATTTTGTTGTTGGCGCTCAATACTTTACACATTTTGCATACGATTATATTCGTGATATGTTATGCCCGAAGTTTAGTGCATTTCTTATATGATTTTCATGTCACGCAAAAATCTGAAAATTACCTCAAGATAGCATTATACCATGCATTAAATAGAGAAAATGTAACGCAATCAATTTTTTTGTAGCACGACAAAGTTACAACAAATTAGCGACAATTATGGTTAATTATTATACGATAAAGAAATGTTTTAATCGTCGAGTGAAAGATGTGGTTACGCCACTACTTAATTAACTTTCACGAGGTGGTTAGTTTCAGTTTATCGTTGTGTATAATACAACACTTTATTTTATAGCATAAACCGGCACAAACCATATAAGTATATCATTATAAAACATTCGAAAATTCTTATTTAAGACGTGAAATAGAGCAAACATAGGTTCTTCCGTTGTTTCCATGGAAACAGTATTGTTATTGTTCTGAACTTCATTTTATTCTGTGCTCTGCGTCCTATTTTTAATAAGAATGTCATATGTCATTAGAATGCACAATCATTTGTTTCACTTTATCTACCCTTGCGGTTACAGAGATTTAAATGATTGGAAAAATTCAAAAATCCTAGTGCGCCGCCACTACAAACAAAATATTCAAGCAAAAGGTTGATGTCTTGAACTTTTCTTCTTCTAGAAATGACACAAGTTTTCCTAAGCCAATGGAATTTTTGGACACCACTAGCGTTATAATTGACGTTCTTCGTTACGGTGGTCTGTAAAAAAATGACATCGATTTCTAGAAAGGAAGTTCATAGTATTTCATTTGTGAACTTAATGGATCCATCTCCATTCGCTATTATGGCGATTCAGGCGATCATTTCTGATTATGGTGCCTTAACGTTTTATTCAACGGTGGGCCAATATCTTTATTTTACATTGTATTCGGTAGGCGCTTTCATGGTTGTAACGGTCAAAGCTTGGCACGTGTGAGAATGTTTCCAAGCAGTTCAATTTTGCATACAAAATTAAAAAAATCAAAATTTTTGGCACCCGTTAGAGTCGTGGAAAGGACGTATATTATAAATACAGTGATTAATTATTCCTATCAATTTGTTTATTAGGAAAGACAATTGGTTACCAAACATATTGTGAATTCACATTTACATCCCAAAAATCTGGTAATTAAGACAATGATAATGTTAAGTTAATTATGTTGATTAGAAAAATTCCACATGCAAACAAACAGGTATAAAACTACGTTTCTATTCATGGAAAAGCATTGCTGCTATTGTGAATCACCCCATCACGAAAACTTACATTCGGCCAGAAAATCGATGCTGAGACCGGCGCACATGCACATGTTATTTGCCGTGTGAATTAATAAAAGTGAGACTGCAAATATTATTATCGTTTCATTAGTAATTAATGACACATAAACCTATAAACCGAACTGTATAACACAAACTTAAAAACCTTATCCGCCTTCCACACACTTCCCAGCCCAACTGAATCTGAAAACACGTCCAGTACTGAGTGTATGGAGCACGTTCTGAATTACTTTTAAGAGGGAGAACATGAATGGATTTAGTTTTGCTTTATCTGTTGATAGTAGGTAATATCCTTGTTTCACTTTAATCGAGTTGCATTTGCGGAAACTTCTGGGCACTATCAGAGGTTAATTGGAACCAATGCCAAAAAAAATTGCTGATCGCGATCATTTTGTATGATGTTAAAAGTTATGGTAAAGGTTATCACTGGATTACGATTTCTAATGTAGATTGATACACCCAATTGCAAAATATTGCCACAGTCAGCGAGACATTCATAAAAATTCGGCGAGGGCATTATGTAATCGAATTCGTATCTAAAACACTTACATTGAATTAATTCTAATGTAAAGCAAACATTATGAAAGGGAGAATTCAATACTTCAACTGTAATTGAATGGAAAGGGAGACCTTGCCTAAAACCGGATGCTAGCAGTTTGGTCTTGGCCATATATGCCCTTCATTCATAAATAAAACAAAACCGAGTGTATCTGGAATCTGTACAAAAGTGCAAAGTTGGAAATTTAGCCCAGCAGTTAATAAACCCATAAAGAGAGTTTAAAAAAGCGGCAGACCACCTCCGTGTGACCCCACGGAGTCATTAGATTTGACACATTTTCAATTGGCTTGTTACATGTGGTATATATGTTAACTGTGCAAAGTTTGTACTGAATAGCTTCAAGCGTTTGCCAGAGGCAGAGAGGCGTACCCCTACGGGGTCATTGGATTTGACCTGTTTTCAGTAGGCTTATTACTTGTGGCATATAGGTCAATTGTGCAAAGTTTGAACCAAATCGGTCCAAGCGTTAGACAGTTATCGTGTTCACGGACAAAAGGACACCATCGACTCCCCTATAAAGCTTACATCGCTTTGTTATGCCTCTTAATAACACCAGCAACTGAAGAAGGGATTCATACATTATATTGTAGTATGACTGAAAAGGGAAACATTTCATTTGATTTTGGACAAATATGAATCTTGTTGAGTGCGTTAAGTTACGATATTATAAGTTAAAAGGAATATCTGGATCGAGTCCCAAATTCCTTCTACTGTTTAACAATAATAAGTACCAGAATAATAAGTACATCTCAAATGAAATGGCTAATTTCCGCCTGTTCTATACAGAAACGTTATTATACCTTATAGTCTAAGAGCCCGCGACGCAAACCATTACCATTCAAATAGCAACATAAAACGTATACATGAACAAGTATTGGAGGTCTCCATACACGAAACGCTCGGTCTGTCGGACCGCATTTAGCCGGAAGGTAAACAAATTTAATTGTTTATTTGTATATTTCATAAGAAATCATTACTTTTAAGAAAAGCAGGTCATATGTGGTACCAAATTAAAGCTCTTGACGTCAGCTGCACAAATAACTCGGTCTGTCGGCAGGCAAATAGCCGGAAGTCCTTGACAGACCGACATTTAGTCTGCTGCTGGAAGCCGACATTTCAGTTAGTTACAAATTTCTACGGTCACTCTGATCCAAGCATTTTAGTTCTGTACCAAAGAGTAAATAACCATAAACCTCTACAGCGGATCTAAAAAAGCGGCCGAGCTCCTCGGTATGACCCTACGGGATCATTGAACATTTAATCTGCTGCTGGAATCCCATAGTTAGCTCAAAATATAAGAGAATCATTCAATTCAAAAACAAAACGGTACAAGCTCTGAAGCGCATCAATGAGATTACAAAAGCATGTCAGCTGAAGTAATGAAACAATTGTAAAGTGAAGAAAAGTATTAATTTCATATTTTGTCGATAACTTTTCTTCACTTTACAATTATTTTGTGGGATTCCAGCAGCAGACTAAATGTTCAATGACCCCGTAGGATCAAACCAAGGAGCTCAGCCGCTTTTTTAGATCCGCTGTAGAGGTTTATGGTTATTTACTCTTTGGTACAGAACTAAAATGCTTGGATCAGGGTGACCGTAGAAATTTATAACTAACTGAAATGTCGGCTTCCAGCAGCAGACTAAATGTCGGTCTGTCAAGGACTTCCGGCTATTTGCCTGCCGACAGACCGAGTTATTTGTGCAGCTGACGTCAAGAGCTTTAATTTGGTACCACATATGACCTGCTTTTCGTAAAAGTAATGATTTCTTATGAAATATACAAATAAACAATTGAATTTGTTTACCTTCCGGCTAAATGCGGTCCGACAGACCGAGCGTTTCGTGTATGGGGACCTCCAATACTTGTTCATGTATACGTTTTATGTTGCTATTTGAATGGTAATGGTTTGCGTCGCGGGCTCTTAGAATACTAAAAGAACGTATACAATACATACCTATGTAAAAACCAATGCAAAAACAAAACCAACAATAAATTTTTAAATATCTTGATTTCTTTTTTGGGCCTTACATCGCATAGTAAATTTTTCTTGTCTGAGGTGTCAGAAGCTTCCGAATGAAAAAAAAGAATTTAGTAGATAGTTACGGCACGGCCAAGCGAATTGACGTGTAGAGAAAGTGGTGGCAATTGTCCACTCAACTTCGTTGGAAAGTGCGTTAAAAATCTCTGCACATGCAAATTACATGACCTCTTGGCGATGAAATTGAGCCACCAAGTGGAAACACACGGTCTAGTCTAGAGCCTAGTTCTTACCTGATCCGAACGAATGGAAACCACTACTCAGTATTCCTTATGATTTCTTCGAGTTCACGCAGCTTTTCACCAATCGATTCTTGATGCGATTTTAAATACTCTGCCTTCACGTTTCCATCATAATAAGTGCTTTTGGTTATTGGCTCTTCTAGCTTAGTGGAATATTAAATACTCGCGTTTTTCTTTAAGGATCAATGGGATGCAGTGTTAGTAATTAGGTAACTTTCAAGTGAATTAAAGATAATTCGTTTGCCCGTTTGTTTTACTACTATGTCGAAATACGGCAGATAAACACAAGAGAAAATTAATAACAATATAAACATCTATATTTATCGTTTCTAATCAACTAATTTTTTTACTACGACAATCCAAATATTCCATCAAATGTTTTTCTTGGTGAGCTTTGTCCTTATTACTATTATTAAAAACCTGTATCTGGTCTGTCACGTCACGTGGTACCTATACGTCTATGCTATTAAAATTTTACCGAATATATTCAAAATGTTTAGATAACCTTTGATAGTGTCACCATACATTCCTTTGTCACTTGTTTAATATATTGAGAATAGAATGCGTCACAAACTCAGAAGAATAGGTTGACCCCTATGAATTTGAGCGCGAAGTACCTATACTGTTTGGATTAAAATATTTCGAAAATGGAGAAGTGCCGTATGCAGAATGTAGCATACAAGCATTTAAAAATGTGTGATAGGTAGCATTCAAAACAATTTTTAGCTTCCTAGCATGTGCTAGGTAGCTATTGCGATAGCCGTTTTTTGAACATTTCAAAATTTCATCAAATGTCGACGTTTTAGACCATTTTAAGCAACTTTTAAAGAATAAAATTTTTTTCCGTCTGTATGTACGTACGTACGTACGTTTGTTGGCAATTTTCTGAGAAAACGGCTCGACGGATTTTGTTGAAATTTTGTATATATGTTTTAGGCATACCGAACAGAAAAATAACGGGCCGGATTTTTGAAAAAAAATTTTGGAGCGCCGTAACGGCATCGAACTTTTTTTTTCAAATAGCAACCTAAAATTTTTATTCTATTATTTGGAAGACCTTATTTTCCTGTGTACAACCTACAAAAAATTGGGCCGGGTTATATTATCAAAAAACGGAGAAAAAAATTGTCAAAGTCAAAAAATTGTGTTGCATATGTGCAAAACGCAACGATCTTGTTTCTGAAGCAATTTAAACGAAATGTCTATGGTAAGTCCCTTTAATAAAAGCAAACAAAATTCATGCGCAAAAATCGTGTTGCGCATGCGCAGAAATGCCATTTTCTTATTTATGGAACAATTAAAACGAAATTTGGATGGTAGGTCCTCCTAATAAAAGAAAACAAAATGCATGCGCAAAAAATCGAGTTGCGCATGCGCAGAAATGCAACTTTCTTATTTATGGAACAATTTTAACGAAATTTAGATGGTAGGTCCTTTTAATAAAAGCTAACAAAATGCATGCGCAAAAAATAGTGTTGCGCATGTGCAGCATCCAACTTTCTTATTTATGGAGCAATTTTAACGAAATTTGCATGGTAGGTCCCTCTAATAAAAGCAAACAAAATGCATGCGTAAAAAAACATATGTTGGCAATTTTTGGTTTCAGCTAGGAAGCTATTCTGTCAAGAATTTGACACCTGGTTTTTTTCAATAAACCTATCACGTTGCTGTTGCTTTAACAATTATTGTACTTGCGATACAAACATTACTACTATGCGATCAAAAATGGGTTGCTGTCTAGTCACCTTTGGAATTTCTGTTTACATGGGAAATCGTACTTAACTTGAACTTCCAAAGGCGACTCGACAGCAACTCATTTTTGATCGCATATTGATTTTTAATTCTTTTTTGTTTACAGGCCCATTACTACATATTACAATATTAAGTATGTTTTGAGCTGAGAAAGAAAGAGGAAACCGATCCCCAACAATAAATTGTCCATGCTATGTGGTAGCTAGGTAGATAATATAATTGTTTCACAAATGGCTTAGAGGAAATAAAAACTTGGCGTGTAGTCTAATGTCCAATAATAAGAAAAATAACGGTTCAGAGCAAGACATTATAATTAGTTACCTGGTTTGCACATTTTACTTCAGTTGCCTCTTGGCCCATAAAGTTTGGACAACAAAATCCACTTGCTCACAAGTATCCCATTAATCTTATCAAATTGAGGACAAAAGTCTTTCACGTACAAATTTAGTTATTTGACTTTTACTGCTTCACTTGCACCCATACACTACAGTATTTTGATCAAACTATGGTGTGATAATCTTCGAAAGAGCATATCGTTTCCTTGACTGATACCGATAAATCTTTGTACCACATTTTACAAGGTGTCAGTTATCGGGCCTGCTTCATCATGTCTACG